TCGAATGTGCAAAAGCCTTTGATTGTGTGGATCACAACAAACTGTGGCAAGTTCTTAAAGAGATGGGAGTACCAGACCATCTTATTTGTCTCCTCAAAAACTTATATGCAGGTCAAGATGCAACAGAAAACTAAGATCATGGCATCTGGTCCTATCACTTCCTGGCAAATATATGGGGAAGAAATGGAGGCAGTGACAGATTTTATTTTCAGTGACTGCAGCCAAGAAATTAAAAGACGCTTGCTCCTTGGGAGGAAACTATAGCAAATCTAGACAGCATACTAAAAAGTAGAGACATCACCCTGCCAACACAAGTGCTTATAGTCAAGGCTATGGTTTTCCCAGTTGCAATGTATGACTGTGAAAGTTGAGCCATAAGAAAGGCTGAGCACCGTAGAATTGAGGCCTTTGAATTGTGCTGCTGGAGGAGACTCCTGCGAGTCCCTTGGACTGCATGGAGATCAAACCAGTCAGTCTTAGCGGAGATCAACCCTGACTGCTCTTTAGAAGGCCAGATCCTGAAGATGAAACTCAAATACTTTGGCCACCTAATGAGAAGGACTCCCTGAAGAAGAGCCTAATGCTGGGAACAACTGACAGCAAAAGAAGGGGATGGCAGAGAATGAGGTGGCTAGATGGTGTCAATGAAGCAGTTGGTGTGAGCTTAAGTGGACTCTGGGGGATGGTGAGGACAGGAAGGCCTGGAGGAATGTTGTCCATTTGGTCGCAATGGGTCGGACCCGACTTCGTGACTAACAGCAACAACAACAAATACCACATCGTGACTAAGAGCCACTGTCAGTTATTCTCCATGAATGCCTTCTTACTAAAATGGGGAGACGACTGAACAAGTGGGCCTCCATGAGACTGAGAACACTGAGAATGTGGAGTGCTCTCTATACAATAAATGTTGGAGGGAAAGAGTGAAAAAAGTAGCAGGCAAACAAGAGTAGCATTCGCTCCAGCATTTCATCACAATTTAAAAAGTAAATACTCATGGAAGAACTTCCTTTTGGAGCTTCCATAAGGAGACTTATACTAGATTTAGTAAATTCCTTTTTTAAGTCTTTGATGTGCCACACTGATAGTGAAGTAACACCTCTTTGTATGGGGAGCTGAGCCTGATAGCAATTTCTGGTTGCTGTTGCAGGCAATAAAATACCCAAAGATATGGCTGGAGACACCAACATTTTCTATACAATCCCTGCTGGAATTCTGAAAAGATCTAAGAAGGTAAGTACCACCATGCTGGTTCAGATCAAAGACCTGTCTAGTCTGGCATCCCATTCTTGCAGTTGTCCTCTTAATACCTGTAGAAGCACATATGCAGGACATGAGCACCATAACATCTTCCCATTGGTGTTCCCCAGAAACTTGTATTGAGAATCCTACTGCATCTGGCACTGGAGGTAAATGTAGTCATCATGACTAGCAACTACTGTTAACCTCTGCTAGCAAAGAGAGTATTTTTCCCTCAAAGATAAGCATGCAGGATGAGTTCACACATTGCTTGATTCATGTGATACATGCAATTATGTGCTTGATTACCTGTATCTTTAAAATTGCTAACATCACTCACCAGAAGATGAGTCTAGATGGAATATTATCACTTGCCACCTCAGAAGGAAAAAAAAGGTGCTAAATTGGGATGTGCTGGGGGTAATGATCTTTGGTGACTCATTGTATGATGGATGCCGTCAGCATTTTGACTGTATTAACTCACATTCAGAGTGCAGGAACTGCCCCATTCCAGTAATTGGGATTATTTTTCACATGAAAGCCCCATTATGTGAATGGGCACTCCTGCAAGCACACGATCATAACAGAATGCCACCCTCTATATCAGCCCTACACAAGTTATTCAGGGACACACTAAAGTCATAGAAAAGAAATGGATGAATCAGGTGTTGAACTAAAAGGACTGCACTATCTGTCTGTCTGTCTGTCTGTCTGTCTGTCTGTCTATCTATTGTACTTGCCTAATGTTCCATATCTAAGCAGATTCCAAAGTGGTGAACAGACTAAAGCAAAAACAGGTAAAATAATAAAAACAATAAATGAAAAAGATAGCATTAAAACTATGGGTGATCAACAATAATGGCATCCAGAACAAGGATCAGGCACCAAAAGCAGAATCGTGCTGGTGCTGGCCTGACCTTCAAAGGAAATTCCAGGGAAATGGGTCTATCACATTGATGACTCTTCTGCTGAACTCCATTTGGGTCATGGGTTCATGCAGAGCCACCTGGAGAATGTCCTCTGATGACTTCAGTGACGGGGTAGGTTGGTAAATGAACTCAAGCGTCAAGTTGTTCAGGGCTTTGCACACTGGTACTAGAAATTTAAATCTGGCCCAGTAGTGAATAGCCAGCCAGTGCAGTTCCTTTAGCAAGGGAGCTGCATGCTGAAAAGGGCCACAGAATAGGAGAGCTCTGTTTTAGATGAAGCTTCCCTTTTATAAAGCTAGATGGTAAGTGCTTCACTCAGAGGCAGGGAAATGCTTGCATGACTCCAGAATCCTCGCAAGTGCACTCTCTGAACTCTGCTTTTGCTCATGAGTAGTGATTACATCACAGAAAGGCCAATCCTGGTCAGAAGCACTGACCAAATATTTTGATTAGTTGGGCTTGGAGAATATCCTAGTGAAGTGATCTAGATCTCAAGCAGTGGAAAAGCAACACCATCTTCTGGTTGATGCCAGTTGGAAAAGACAATATTGGACTCGACAGACCAACAATATTAAACGCAGCATGTGTTGGCCTCATGTGTTTAACTGAAATATGGTGGCAAGCCCCCACCAGACACTTCGCTCATCCTTCTGAAACTCTTGGCTTCCATCATATTCTTCCCTGTTCCTTCACACAAGATGGAATTCCTCCATTCACTTTATGTGACACTTTGGTGGCAACCCTAGTCATATGCATTAGCTAGAGACGCTTTGCCAAGAATTTGGCAACTGCATTATGAAATGCACTGTCCTCTGTTCTGCTTGAGAGCAATGAAAAGGTTAATAAACATTTTATAGACCTCCAGGAGTTCATTTCTTGCCTAATTAAACTCCTATTTCAAATTACATTTAGGACCAAAACCAGAAAGAAACACCCTAAAAAAAACAAACACTGAGTTATATGCATGATTTATGCATATTTAACAGTGTTTTCCTGATGGAATAAACAGTTAACTTGAAATAATTTTCTTCCACACTAACAGCCATTTTCAAGTCTAATATTCCATTGCTGCTTGAAAGTACAAAGCACCGTGCAAAAAAACTAACCCCACAAAGGCGACTTTACATTGGCAAGCAATTATTGCAGAGATTAATTGTTTTCAACAGAATAACCATTTATCACTTCAGACCAATAAAATATATTTTGCATATCTGCAGTTCTATAATTAAGCCTGCCAATTTCTGATTTCAAAACTAGATTTAACATGGGCCACAGGGCAGAGACAATGGGTGAAGTCAGGAAAGGCAGAACCTGGTTGGCAAGGTGTGGCCAGCAAGATGTAGTGCTAGAATGCTGGACTAAAACTGTTGAGACCTGGGTTCAAATCTCCACTCAGCTATGACGCTGACTAGGCAACTTTGACCAGTGATGTTCTTTCAGCCTAATTTATCTCATAGTGTTGTTATGTGGAGAAACTGGCACTGATGAGTGATGAATACTATGCTGATACCATTAGAAGAGCCAGGGATCTAGGGGAGAACCTGGTAGATTATGAAGCCTGGGCATGGTAGACATGGGCAGACTGTAACGGAATCTGAAATAAGGTTTCTAACACCATTGCTCCATCTGAATTTCTCCCAGGGCTTTGGATTCTGAATTTCCCGGTCTAGTTTCATTAGTAGTTCCAACGTGCTAGTGATCTTCCATTTGTCTGTGTTCCGACTGCTGCATATGCAGCCTGTGGCAATTTTCACTGCATAGTCCATTATTGCACTCAGATTGTACCTCAGCAATACATGCACTGATTATATCACAGCACAAAATGTTTCTTGAATGTAGTCAATGTGCAGCAGGTATTTCCAGTTAAAGGCTTTTAGTGCTACCAGTAGGCATTATAGACCCCTTCTACTTTCTCTGCCTTAACAGATTTTTTTTTTTTCTGGTAAGAACAGAAAATAAAAGAAATGGTGTGGGAGAAGTAAAAAACTGATGATGTTTATTGTACCCCACCAGTAGAATTCCATAAATGAAGCAAACTAACTGTTGGATAAAAACCATGTCTGGAAGTGCCCAAATTTGCTAATAACTCCCAGTCACTTATAAGGAAAAGAAACGCATGCACAAATTTAAGCAAAGTCAGATATTCTCCAAGTTTAACTGGGAAATAAGAGGTGCAAAATGTAGGGCAGAAAAAACCCCGGACAGTAAAAAGCAGGAGGATGGGATACACACATTCCTAATCTGGAGTTCTCAGATCCCAAAGCTGGTGGCCTCACAGGATGCAGTTCTGTTGCTCAGATCACTGGTTGCCAATATTAAACAAAAAGCAAAATTACAACAATGAACAACTGGGGTGGGGGGCATAAATTCCCACTGCCAATTTTAATTAGTGGTTTTTCCATGAGTCTTGTCTTGATAAAGCAATCCCTTGATATAATGAAGTTCTGCTCTATAGGACCTGAATGTCAAAATAAATTAATTTACTTTTCTGGCACCCAGTCTTGATGCAGCATCTGAAGTCATTTGTGTGAAGCTGCTTTCTCAACACAACAGCCAACTTTAGTCTTTCTCTATTTGCAATCCTGATGATGCTCTAACCTTGGCTTTACACTCCATTACCTCCCCTAAAGGTAAGAGCTAAGTAATCCCTATAAACAGATAAGCATGGTTTGCTTTTCAAGAAAAATACATGTGAAGACAAATGGCTGGTATTTAGGGATTCTAACCAGAACAAGAAATTGTTTGGGGCATGTGTGCTTGTTTTTTTTTCGGATGCTTAATGACATAGCTTCAATCTGTTGATTTCAGAGCAAACCCACAGCTTAGACCCACATTATGAATAAATTGCTGGGGAATCCCATGTAGAAGGCAGTAATAGCAGAGATGTTCCCAACCAGTCAGAAGGTCATCTAGAGCATCCTGTTGTGGACAGTAGCCAATGAGAATGCCCTCAGAACCAGCAGGTGATATATCCATTTCACACCTGTTTAGAAGAAAAAGCATGAGTCTTGGTTTAAGGAAGTATAAACATAAGAACATCAGCACTCCATGTAGAATGCAACATTAAAAAATGTATGTAGAATTCTTCCCATTCAGATTTCTCCCCAGATTCTGTGGTTCTAAATTACTCTATCTTAGTTCCAGAACCGTACTGACATGGTAGTGTAGCCTTCCCCAGCCTGTTTCCTTCCCCTCCAGATGTTTTGGCCTACAGCTCCCATTACCTGTGGCCAGCACAATCAGCGGTCCTGTAAGTCGGGTTGCATTACCCAACATACAGCAGCAGGATGGGGATGCCTGAGTGCCTGTGTGCACTGATTCAAAGTACAAAAGAAAACCTTGATTTAGTCAGGTGATCACAGTAATATTTATATTTATGCTGCAATTTAAATATCAGGCATATAAGGCGGGATGGGGAGGAGGGAAGCTCTTTATGCCAAAGAGATGAAAGCAGCTTTGGATGAGCAATGAGGAGCATCATTCCTGTGGAAGGCAGGACTCAAGTCCAATTAACACATAAATACACATTCATCTTTGTCTAAGCTAAACATTTCCCTACTCAAGCCGGGCTCTAGGAATAAGGCAATTTCCTTCTATTCAGCCTCGTCCTTTTCCAGTGCAGCTTCCAGCCCCTTCTTATTTTTAGATCAGCTCCAAACCCAGGTCCTCTGCCGTCCTCCATCTGGGATTCTTCCTTCTGATTTGCATCACTTGAACTGACTTCTAACCTTCTTGCCAGCTTCACTTATATGTGCTATCTCCAGCTCCCCGTTCAACCTCAGAAGCATGGTAGACTTTTGTCTCTTCTCTGGTTCCCACAGTAACTAGGTTTCTTCTCTCTGTCCCTTAAGGGTCAATTTCCTGGGCTTGGCCTATTCTGCCTTCCATTCAATTCTGTGCTCCTTCTAAGCCTGCAGTTCTACAGGACTAAGTCCTGTTGATTCCCATGAGAGTCAAGCAGGTTAGGAACTCTGGAATGGACCTGCTTCTGTATCTCCAAATGGGTAAACCACAGAGCTACAGAGCACTTGTTCCCACCTACCCCAGGCTGCAGTCTTGGGCAATCCATCCCCTTGTTCACCACCCTTCTGGTTCCCTAGGCATCCTGTGGCTGAAATGAATTGCCAATATTAGACAAAAATTGAACCTAAGGCTGCTGAAAGCTTAAATAGATACTGTCCAATACATTTCTTCTTACATTGAACATCCTTGTATATCTCTGAACACAATTTTGTAGCTGTACAGAGTTTCTTTAAATAGAATTCATTGCAAAGAAGCAGTCTTGATTGCAATGGTGGGTCATTACATATAATGACAGTAAATGCATCCTATTTATTCCAACTACCTAATCTAGCCCTTGAATTTACAAAAAAGCTCTGCTCTTGCCTTCCCCAAATCAATCAACTATAAGTAAAGATGTGTGATTGGAGAGGAAAACAGCTCTCATGCTATGTACTAATGTTCTGCTTTTCTTCACTAACATTTGTGCATTGCTATATCATCATCAATAAGGTTGTGTTTGTCATTCACCATTTAGAAAGAAATTATTTCCCTCAGCCTATACATTTTAAATTATCAAGGGAAGGAGATAAAAAAGTATTTGCTTCTCTTTTAAAAGACTGAAGAGAAGTAATTGTGGATTTCATGTGCTGAATTACAATTATCCAAATGTTTGAAAAGATGTCAAATGGGAACTCATCCAATCCACAAAAACAGTAACCTTTTAAGAAACAAATCAGAAAGTACCTACCTCTCTCCCTTTCTCTGAATAGAGGTAAGGTAGCCTTTCAATTCCTAAATTAATTTGTAGGGATAACATGATGGTAATGATTTAGGGGATATTTGCTGAAAGACTAAATCCATTGATCAAAGAAAGAAAATTAAGATTAAGTTCTTGATCTAATGTTTGACTCAAAGACTGCTCTTTAAAAATAAATACATATGAGAGAATTTATTTCAGATCTTATTTGAAGCATGCCATCATCAGATTTAAGTGTGTTTTTTTAAGGCCAGCAGTATCTTTGGGAGCTCCTTGCTTATGTGGGCATCATTTACATAAACTGGCAGTTTAAATTTTGGTTTTACTCAGAAATATCAAATGTAGAGGAACAGCCAGAGATATTAGATGAAAAGCTGACCAGCACAGCGTTAGAATAATGACCCAGCTCTGCCAATCTCGGTGCTGGAACAGCAGCTCCCAGAATGAAAACATGAAATGAAGGGACAGAGCATCACAAATGGTGCTGGCAGAGCCGCACCCAGTGGGGAGGGAGCATGGCACACTGGTTGAACACTGCTTTGCATGCAGAAGGCCCCGGATCGAGTTCTGGCATCCCCAGGCAGGGCTAGGAAAGGACCCTGCCTGATCCCTGGAGAGCTGCTGCCAACCACGGGCCTGACTCTGCAAGAAGCAGCCTCTCATGTTCCTCTGCTTCACCCCGCTCTGAAGCTCTACTGACTTCTTGGAACCAGGTGACTGGGGAATCGGACGACAGGGCCAGCCCCCCCCAGTAGGGGAGGTGAGCCGCACTCCTCTTGCTTGCCTGCCACCAATCCCAGTGCCGCTGCAAAACCCTGTGCGTTTCAGCGTGAGGTACAGGGTAGGTGCTGGGGGAGCTCTGCTGCCCTGATAACTGAAAAGCAGGTGTCACAGCTCTCCGGAGCAGCCGTCGCTGCCTCCGTCCACCATATGCCTTGCCTCGGTCTTGGTGAGGCTACGCTGACTACTCCCTTCCTGGGGCAGAAAACCGCAGGGAGGGAGTGTCCAGAGCAGCTCTCTGCAGGGCTCACCTAGCCCAAATGCCTGGCACTAGAGATTGCCTGTGCTTTCCACTACCACCTCCCTGCCAATGCTTGGCTCTGAAAAGGGCCCCTCAAAGTGAGCCGCTGAGGAGAAGGTGGGCAGTGGTTCCTGTTGCGTACACTCCCTTTGTCCCGCAGCAGCTGCACAGGCATATTCTCCTGCCATCTTTGCTGGGAGGCCTTACACTGCCCTCTCAGAGAGTCCATCCTAAGAGTCATTAGAGCAATCCTGGAGCCAAACACTTGATTCACACTTACTTAAAAGGAAATGGTGTTATATGGCACACATAGAAAAGTATCGGGATACCTTGGCATCCTAATTGACCTGGCAGAACCACTGTCTCAGCAGCCCTGTTGTACTGGCACGTGTGTGTGTGTAAGAGAGAGAGAAGCATTGCATTATCACAACCTCTTGTAAACCACCCTGAGAACCATTCAATGAAAATGGAAGGCATAACTCTTCAAATCAAGTAAAAAACCACATTTCTAGGTTCAATGAACCTAGACACTTGCACTAATCACAGGAATAACACCAGACTAGGAACTGAATCCATTTGCAGAGAACTTACAGTTGAAGTTGAAATGCTCATTTAGAAATGAATATGCAAAAGGCTGTCAACAGAATGGATGTGGAGTTTTGCTGAGCAAACCCTCAACACTTGCTGCTGGCAAGCACTTAGTCACCATTCATCAGTGATCTCACACTGATACCTGTATGCAGAACAGGTAACAACCCGGGCTCCCACATTTCTAACACAGAGATGACACAGAGCATTTCTTGCCTGAGATGTGCCATCGCCAATAAGCAACTAGAAACAAGCATGAACTATATGTCTGTCATTGAAATTAAAGACAAAATGATGCCACCTGCATTACACATTTAAATAGGCTCTTTCTTTTTCCCAGCACAGGCAACATTAACTTTTATACTCCTTCAGAAAGATTGGACAGTCCTCGCCAACAATACTAGGCTAGAATTTTACTTTCTTCCTTTCCAACTGATTGCCTAAACCCAATATTGTGCATATTGGGTTCTGTATCAGTCATGCAGAACTGGGGGTGGGGGTCCCCAAAATCAGGGATATTCAACCTTTCTGGTGTAAAACCATCTTAAGAAATAAAATTTTAATTTAAAGGTCAGAGGATACCACGAGAGATTCTCCAGACACATGAGTATCCATGGATACCACCCTCCAGGGGAAGACCTAAGGGCTAAATATACTGCATTGGTGCTATACTTGGGTGGCTTTTAAAAGGGGACTGGAGAAATTAGTGAAGAAGGTGGTTATTAATGGCTATGGTCCTGATGGCTACATGCAACTTTCGGTATCAAAGCCAATATGCCTTTGCGCACCAGCTGCTAAATACCATGGGTAAGAGGCTGCTGTTGCACTCTGGTCCTGCTGTGGGATCCGCTTGGCTACTGAGTGAGCAGAATGCTGGACTAGATGGGTCCTTGGTCTGATCCAGCAAGGTGGATATGAAAGGGAAAGACACACACAGACCAGTGGCAGAGGCAGGGGCACTGAGATCTCTTTAGTAGGAGAGGGCAAGCACCCAAGACTGACTTGAAACAGATACAGGGTCACTCTAATACTAATTCTGTAAAACCAAAGAATTCAGCTTGGCATAACTCTGACAAATTACTCACTATCTTTTTGATGGATGATTGCCCATTTTGGAGTCTGTTGCAAAGCAACAGAAAGGGAGGGTGCTTCATAATCAGAATTGATGTGCATGTAAATTATCAACTGTTTCTGCTGTACCTTGGAAACCAGCTTCTTTCTATACCTTGATGTTTGTTTTATTAAGGGCTCTAATTAGCAATTCATCTCTGTTCTGTAATTTTTACTGGGCAGCAATGATGGCAGAAAGCAAAACAAATGAGATATACAACATGTGGAATGGTTTTTAACAAAGAGATAATTCCAGCCCATTAGTGGAAAAATGAAATATAAATAGACAGACCACAGAAGCAATTAAAAATTCCTTTGTGCTCATAGCTGTATATTACATTTGCTTATAGGTAATTAGCGTAGTATTTTTAAAAGCAAGGTGAAAAATATAATTAATGTTACTCCAACTTCATTAGAATTGAATTACACCAAGATATACAACTTAACACTAGCCTTCTCAGCCACTATGATGATGTGAGATTTAAAACTCCTTGAGACAGGATCT